TCATAATGAGAATCTATGCTGGCCTTTTGCACTCTGTGAGTGAGGCACCGATGGCTTCTGGTCTTGCTGTGAGTCCAGAGCTCAGTTCAAATGCAGCCCTGCCCTACGGAGAGGCCCGACCTTGGCCCAGTATGACTTTATTTGATAGGTTTTCAAAGTATGCATTCATTCATTCAGTACACATTTCCCAAACATTCCTGGTGGCCTGGCTGTTTGAAATCCCTACCCCCAGGGCTTCATAGTGGCAGCGGGAAAACAATACACGTACATACAGCAGGTGGACACCGAAGGGAAGAAGGCAGCAAGAGGAAGGTGCTAGGAGCCAGTGCCTAGGCCCTGGGGAGCCAGCGGGTCCCCGGGAGCCCTGACGGCCGCCGGGGGCAGTGCACGCACCGGGAGCTGAAGAGTCGCAAGGGCGGACTGACACGCGTTCCTCGCAGGGACCTCGGGCGCCGGTTCTCTGTGCGTCGTTTGCCGGCTGTCGTGGTGCTCAAGCCAAGCGGGGACGTGCTGACTAGCGATGCGACCGACGAGATCCAGCGCCTGGGACCCGCCTGCTTCGCCAACTGGCAGGAGGCGGCGGAGCTGCTGGACCGCAGCTTCCTGCAGCCCGAGGACCTGGATGAGCCCGCGCGGCGCAGCATCACCGAGCCCCTGCGCCGTCGCAAGTACCGCGTGGATCGGGATATGGGCCGGGACTGGGGCCGGGGACGGAGCGGCCACGACTCTGGTTACCCCCAGGGGGATGCAGGTGCAAGGGCAGAACTCTGGTGACCCTCCAGACCCAGGTACAGCGGCGGGGCTTTGATGACCCCCTTGGGGACCCGGGTGCAGGGGCAGGGCTCTGGTGACCCCCAGGAGGATGAGGGTGTAAGGGGCAGAAGTCTGGTGACCCCCGTGGGGACCGGGATGCAGGGGCGGGGCTTCAATTAGCCTCCGATTAGCCTTCTCCTCCCACGTGTTCAGGACGTTCCCTAGACAGCAGAGCAGATTGACCTTGAACTCACCATTCTCCACCTCAGTCTAAGGAATAGCTGGAATGACAGCCAGCTACTCTTCCCTAGACTTTGAAAGAACGTGGGGATACCTCATGAACAGTTCCTGGACTCGGTACCCGGAGCTTAGTGCAAACTAAGCGAGCTTTTTACCCTTCGAACCCCAGCCTCAAAACCCCTATTCAAAACAAAATAATACAGCCGGGCTTCGTGGCACAGGCCTGTCGTTCAGAGTTCTGGACTCAAGTGCAGGGCCGGCGAGACGGCTCAGTGAGGAACGGCTTGCTGTCAAGACTGACAACCCGAGACCAATCCCTGGAACACCCATAGCAGAAGGGAGAACCGACTCCCGCAAGTTGTTGACCTCCACACGCTCATGGTGGCACGTGTACGCCCACACACTTACAAATATACCATTCTGAGTTTTGTGCAAAACAACAAAACATAAAAAAAAAAATAACCCGAAGAGGTGTGCGGAAGAAGGATCTGGAGTTCAAGGCTGTTTTCGGCTACGTAGAGGGTTCTAGGTGGGCCTGGGCTACAGGAGACCAGGTCGCAAACGAGGGAACCTCGGTCAAGCGCCACTCCTCCGGACAGGCATCGCCCTCTGCAGAAGCGCCTGCCAGAGATTTTGTTTTACCTACGCTGCCTCCTGGCGGTCGAACTGGGATGGTGCGTGCAAATGAGAGGAATTTAATATTTTAAAATTCCAGCTCCCGCATCATGGGCGTCCACCGAAGCTGGCAAGCCAGACTTTCTGGGGGCAAGAATTTGACTAGCTAGGAGTAGAAGGCTACGAACCAGAGGAGTCGTGACCCTGCAAGTAGCTCACCCGCCTCCATTCCCAACTTGGAGGAGTTGGGGAAACTGAGACTCAAGACCAAATAAGGATGCCTGCTGGCCACCAAGCCTGACTGCCTGAACTTGATCCCGGAAACCCACATAGGGCAAGGAAAGAGTCTACTCTTAAGTTGTCTCAACTTCCACCCGTGTCCCCCACAACAACTAATAAATGGAATTTGTAAATTATTATGATTATTATTTTGGTTTTCCAAGACAGGGTTTCTCTGTATAACCCTGGCTATCCTGGAACTCACTCTGTAGACCAGCTGGCCTCAAATTCGCAGAGATCTACCTGTCTCTGCTTCCCATGCATGCAGGGATTAAAGGTATGCACCATCACCACCCAGTCGGAATTTTAAAATATTAATTAAAAAAGAAAATTAGAGGGGCTGGAGAGATGGCTCAGCGATTAAGAGCACTGACTGCTCTTCCAGAGGACCAGGGTTCGATTCCCAGCACCCATATGGCAGTTCACAACTGTCTGTGACTCCAGTTCCAGGGGATCCAACACCCTCACACAGACATATATGAAGGCAAAAACACCAATGCATATAAAATAAATATTTTTTTTAAAAAAAAGAAAATTAGAAACCCTCATTTACCCCTTATGGGAATGTGAAAAATTGTACAGTTGCCATGGGAACCTGTGTTGTAGTTCCACAAACAGGAAAATGGAGTTGGCATAGGAATCAGTAATTTGAATCATAGAACTTCACTATTGGAAGGGGGGGCTTGCATATAACTATTCCTAACATTGTGATTGACCCTTGCCAAAAAGTAGACACACCTCCAATTTCTATCAACACACTGACTCAGGTGGTATGTCCAGAGTGGAATATTGCTTGGCCATGAACAGGAATAGCACACTGGCACAGGCTATAGTCTGTGGTACTGAGTGACAGCAGCCAGCTGCAAAAGGTGTCACCTGGAAGAAGATGTCCCAAACAGGGAAAATCACAAAGGGAGCTGACCAGGCAGGGGCTGCCAGCAAACAGCGGGGACTGACTGATGGAAAGGGATCTCTTAAAGAGATCAAATGTTCCCGAACTGGGCAAGGGTGGGACTGCATGGTAAGTGTGCTACAAGCCACTGAATAAAACAGAGACACTTTGATTAAAGTTTCATTTCAGTTTATCAAAAGTAGCCATTTGAGTAGCTGGATGGTGGTGGCACACACCTTTAATCCCAGCACTTGGGAGGCAGAGGCAGGCAGATCTCTGTGAGTTTGAGGCAGCCTGGTCTACAGAGTGAGTTCCAGGACAGCCAGGGCTACATAGAGAACACTGTTTTGAGAAACAAAAACAATATATTAATAAATACCAAACCAAATTATGGACAGGAGCTCAGGAGATGACTCGGTAGGTAAGAGTTCTTGCTATGTTAGCATGAGGACTCGAGTTCGAATCCCCAGCACCCACGAAGACAGCTGGCTATGACAGACAGACTCAAGGACTCACTGTAAACAACCACAGAGGAAGACAGCAGCTGCTGCACTCCTGCTCACCTGTACCACACACACACACACACACACAC